TACATTGAAGGAATCGAGATAAGCAAGTAAACTTGTTTCAACAAGTTAACACAGGTGCAACTGCATAATTTAAAAAAAATGCAATCTTAAAAACATGATGCAGATAACTTTACCTGATAAAATAAATTAACCACATACCTTGGTAAAAGAAATTCAATTTTTACAAAATGCAAAATCTTTGTGTTACAAAGTAATATGCAAATTTTAACTTATACGAGCTAAATCAAAATAGTTAAAAGAAAATATTTTTTTATTTTTTATTAATAACATATAATTATAATTATAATTAATTTGGCTAGGATCGGAGTACATTGTGCCCGATTAACTATCAAACATTTCATAAGAGTTGAGAAGCATTTATTTTTGTTTTTCAACCCCCATCCTATTCATTTGCATAGGAGGTGATTCTATGACACAGACAATCATTGTTTTACAATCACCATCCTATTCATTTGCATGTATGGGGATTCTCTGACAAAAAATTTTATTTATCATGTTTTTCAATCCCTATCCCATTCATTTGCATGCAGGGGGTACTGTGACACAGACAATCATTGTTTTACAATCCCCATCCTATTCTTTTGCATGTATGGGGTTACTGTGTCACAGAGTGACACAGATTGTCACAGTATTATGTTTTTTGGAGATTCAAGTTTAATCTAACACTAAAATCAAAAAGTCTCTTTCTAGTAGCTACCAGAGTATTATTAAAACCTACTTGACAAGAAACAGAAAAAGCTGTTTAAGCATGGGTTGACACAAAAATGTTTTTATCATGTTTTTCAATCCCCATCCTATTCATTTGCATGCAGGGGGTTACTGTGTCACAGAGTGACACAGATTGTCACAGTATCCCCCTTTTATATCTACTTATGACACTATATGTCAAGTTAAATTTTGAAATAAGTTAATCACATCAAAATGGAAATGCTAAATTCCCAATAAAATGTGAATTATGTTTTTTGGAGATTCAAGTTTAATCGAACACTAAAATCAAAAAGTCTCTTTCTAGTAGCTACCAGAGTATTATTAAAACCTACTTGAGAAACAGAAAAAGCTGTAAAAGCATGGGTTAACACGTTGGCTACCATATGAGTCTTATGTGATACACATTCCCTACAGATCACATTCGCATACCAAGTGCATATTTATTTAGTCATTTTCCGAATGTATGTGTATCACTGGTGATGCCCACTTGGACCCGATTATTTAGTTTATTCCTGTACCATACCCGAAATTTAATTCCGTTTATACGCCAAGCTTTTCTACAAGCATTTAAAATACTACGTGTTCGTTATCACCGGTGGTACATAAAGTACAAAAGGGAACTATGAAAAAGGATCACCGGTAATACATATGGTACCCTGGGCCAGAATGTTAAAATCAGGCCTGGTAGTTAACGTGTCAAGTAAGATCTTGATGTTTAAAGATTTATGGGTTTAAACGAAAACAGAAATATTGCAATAAAAATTGCAAATTGTACCTCAGCATAGCCTGACAAAATTAGAAACATTGCAAGGCAAAAAGTCAGGTCTTATAGTAGAAAGTTTACAAAGATTTTTATTTAATTTTAAGTATAATTACAATAAGTCACAATTCAACAGAATGCCGAAGATTTAACTGTCATTGGTGAAACAATTAAAAAGAATTGGATCATACCAAGAATCTTGATCGTGTTGCCTGCTTAGGGCAATTTTAGTGGTAAAAAAAATATTATTGACGATTAAATAAGTAAAAAGTCAGGTGAAGCTTCATCAAATGCTCTTATATCAAAAAAAGTCAAGAAAATTAAGAAATCTGGAAAATCATCTATTAATTGCTTAAAATGAGGCAAGAAAGTTCACATAAAAGACAATGTAAGAATAAACCATGCGAAAAATTATATTCGCAAAAAGTGCAACCAGAAAAGTCATTTTGTCAAAGACTGTAACCATAATAAGGATATTAATCTTAACTTGGGCTGCATTAGCAACAGAAACCTGAACTACGAAATACAGGGAAAACGCAAACCAATCGTTAGACCAATCAAAAAATAGTAGTTTATCCAACCGAACAACAGGTAGGTAATTAATTTTTAGTACTTCCAATGGTTCTTCAGTTAATTATTTATTTAGAGTTTCCAATTGCTCAACCAATTACCAACCAACCTCAAGTATTATATGTTGTTGAAAATGTGGATGAAATGGAGATATTACCCAATGATACTACCATAATTAATGAAAATCAAAATATTGACCTAAGAGTTGAATTTAATAATTATTGTAAGTATGTCATTCAAATAGAAAATAAATTAATAATTCAATTGCACAAATATTTTTTAGTTAGAGTTGAAGTTAAAAATTATTTGAATAATGAAATAGACAAAATAAATACAAAACTGGACAGAATAATTTTTCTTATGGAAAATAGAACAAATTATCCTGACTTTGTAACGAATAACGAAGAGGAGGATGAAGAAGAAAATGTAGTTTCATTTCCTCTTAAAACCGTGGAGGACGTATTTGAATTGGAGGCACAATTAGAAGAAACTGATTTGTTTAAACAAATTGTAAATATGGAGTCATTATTTAAAAAAAAATTAATGGACAAATCCGGATTTGACATTAAAGTGCTGAAATTAAAAATTATTTGAATATGCAGATTCTGGAACCAAATAACCTGGTACAATGGCAGAGAAACTAGAAGAATGAGACGTTTATTTTAGTTTTGTTTTGCCTTAAATGTGACTTGTTCGCTTTTGAATTTACATGACTTATTTTTAGTGCGCATAAACGTTAAAAAATAAAAATAAAAAATAAAGTAAAAAAACATTATGCTGTGTATACTCTATTTATTTTACATTAATATTGGCTTAAATAAAAAATATACAGTTTAAATGTTTGTATGCATTAGGTTTTATTATTGTTTTTATTATATATACTATAATATATATATATATATATATATACATATATATTATACGGGCAACTTGTTGTTAGAAACTAAATGTGCGAATAATAGTTTGCCTTTTTTTAAATATTAACAATTGAGAAACATTTAAGTAAAAGCCATTTAAACAACATAAAACATTTATTAAACAGTAAATCCATCTTGTGTTATAGTTTTGCAAAATAAATTTTATTTGGGTTAAATTTAGAAATGATGTTTGTAAATAATATAATTTGTGAATTAAATCTTAGAGTTAAAATATTAATTGTTATTGTATTTGGATTTGGACAATATTTATTTTTGTATTAGAATATAATTTTATTATTTGATATTATTTTAGTATTTAAGTTTTATAACAGTAAAATATTTTTTGAAGTTATAAAGTTTATTATTAATTGTTTTTTTATTTATTAGGATAACAATATATGAGGAGGTGCATTCCAAAACTCGGCTTAACCATATTAGGTGATTTTGAGTAAAATGTCAAAAACCTTACACGTGAGTACTAACGCATATTAGGCCTATAGAAAACGAAATAAATAGGCATACTTGATTAAAAAAATTTACATGTGTATAAGCCAGTTCTGACATGATATAACCTATAAATAAGGCAAGTTTTGGAACGACTGTCAATTTGTAAATGAATTTTAAATTTTAGAATTTTATGACCTTTTTTTTATAGGGCTACAATGTCATGTTAAATGTACATACACCACTAACTCATTTTTATTAAAAAATGGATAAGCCTAGTTTTGGAATGGACCTCCTCAATATATTTAATTTTTGATAGAGCTACTATAAAAAATGGATTTGTTAGTTTTAATTATAAAGCTAATTATTACGTCCTTTTGAATATTTAATAACACTCTTTAACTTTTTTATTGAATTAATAGATAAATTGAAAGTGATGGTAAATAATTTAATTTTATGTTATTTAAGAAAGTTAATTGATAAGCTTCATAAATAATAAATTTTGTTTAAAAAATATAGTTAATGCTGTAAAATAAAATAAAGTAAAAAATTGGTAGGGTATTGGCGATTTTGCCCTATATTTTAATACATTTTTTCAAAAATATTGTTTTTCAAGGAAACCCTGTTTTTTGTGATTCCATAATAATTATTACCTTAAGTTATTTTCCTTTAGGTTTTATATATATCGCAAATTAAATAAATAACTTTTTTGAATAATTGTTATTGATTTATAACATATATATGAATGAAAATGAATATTTTCATAAAATAAGAAAATCCAAGTTAACACCTGAATATTTGCATGAATTTAAGTATTGTCCAAACATTTTAGTTTAAAACATACACATACACACACAATTTCTATATTTACACACAACTTTATGTCATTATTAATGACTCATTAATTTACAAATCCACAAATATTATTAATCCAATGTACTAACTTCGCGCCTGATTTATTTTAATTTTAAGCTTTTTCTAATCTTTTTTATTCTACAATATAACAACAACACATTTTCTAAAACAATTATTTTTAAGCCAGTTAGGCCCAAGATATGTTTATAAAATAATTGTTAAAAAAATTATAATTTAAAAATAAAAAAAACATATGCTTTTTACATGTTATATGATAATTAAAAATTAATCTGAGCTAACAACAACTTGTTTTAACAAAATTTTTAACAAATATATACATAGTTTATACCTGTATGATTAAATATTTGCATTATAGTTAATTTGGTAAGTTTAAGAAAGGGGCAATGTAATTCATCTAAAACATTATAGGCTTATGTTAAAAATATAAAGAAATATTACAAAATCTAGTATTTTTCAATGATGTGTTTAAAATTGCAAATAGTTAATCAGTTAATACAAAATTCATATTTATATATATTAATTATACCCATACTTTTAAATACTCTACTTCGTACTAATATTGACATTATATTTATTAATTTAAATATTATTTTACAATTTATAAACCACAAAATATATTAAATTATATTTTAAACTGTCGACTGTTATAAATAGGTTTAATTAAAAATATTAAATTAAAGTAGACATTACTGTGGAATCGATAGATATAGATACTGGGCTGAAATTTTCTCTATTGAAAGTAAATCAATATAATACTTGAGATTTTGTCTAGTTTACTATATAAATATTTTAGACCACTAAAAATTATGGAATTTTATTTATGATCATTTTGTATTTCTGCTTAAATAAAATACAATTTAAATTCACCATCTATACCTTTACAATTCCAAATTACAAGAAATGCAAAATACGCCTGTAAAGACATGCGAATTGTCAGTCTCTAGTAAATTATTTATCCTGGTCAAAGTTTTTAATGAATTTTTAAATGTCTATTTGGGTAAAATTAAATAAGATTATTAGCAATTGCAATTGGCAGCTTGAGGACCTTGAGGTTGGTCAGTTAAACGTTGTCCTTTCGCTCCTCCACTCATTAAAGTAGGATCAGTATCCAAACTATCCGACATTTTGTCACAAATTATATCCACCAATCTTTCGAAAACAGCCTGTAAATAATGTTTTAGAATTACTGTTTAGTAATGGTTAATATTTAAAAATACTTGTGATACCCAATAGTATAATTATTGGATGTTTTTTGTCACCATTCTAAACATCCTGTAATATCTGTATCATAATGTGTATTACACATTACATTGTATTTGTGTAATTTAGGCAATATTTATATAAATATGCGTTAACCTCGTAAAACAATAAAATAAACAAATAACTAATAACTAGGGCCGGATTTAGCATGGGCAAGAGGGTGAGGGCCTTCACAAATATTAGCTTTCAAATTAAAACAAAATTCGGAAACATTGAAAACAGGAAAACCGTGCAGTTTCTTATGATTCCATTTAAATTTTCCGCTTATATTTTTAAGCATTACTAAGCATAACTAAACATAATTATTAAAAACATGCAAAAATTACTAGTTTTATTTTTTTTATAATTTATTATTCTAATCTGTAAAAACACTAACCGAATATTTTATTTTATTTATTTTAAAGGTTTTTTCATTAAGGTGTGTTACTTTAAATTTGTAGTCATTTTTTCCTGTTAATTAACTGTGATTTTTAAGAGACTAATAAATTAGTTAATAAACAGGGTGATTTATTTATAATTCAAAAAACTTTTTTCCGAAAACGCTTCGTTTAAATATCTTTTTCCAATATCTGAAAAACCATAAAATTAACAATACCTTTGGGTGAAAATTTGTTGGTGTAGGATAATATTAATTATTAAAAAAAAACTTTCTTATGGGAGAATTGCCGAGTTTTCAAAGTTTATTTTTTACTTCTTTTTCAAAGATATAATACACTTCGAAAGCAATTTTCCCACAAGGAAGTTGTTTTTTAATTATTGTCCTACACCCACACCGAATTAGAAGAAAAGGCTTTTCATCTATGTACATTAGGGTGTCCCTTATTTTTATTTTTTTTACGCATACCCTCTAATTATATTTATTACGTGTTTATATACTCCCAGTAAAAATTTCAGCTCATTCTATAAACGGGAACCCGTGCCGACTTGCATCTGAACCCTCCGCGAGGTCTTCGATCGTAAGTCATTTTGTGTTTGTTATTATGTGACCCTTATATTATAAATTATTGACAAATGTTAAAATATAGTTTTATTTATGTGTATACTTTGATAAAAATGTATATTTTCACAGGGAGTGGCTAGTTACCCAGAAGGGTCTGGTGAATAGGCCGTAAACTCTGAAATTGATAAACTTAATGGGTTTTACTCTAAATAACTAAAAGAGTCTATTGTGAGAGATGACTACCGAAAACTTATTAAACTATCTGAAATATTTTTGGAAGGACATCAAGAAAAGAAATGCATATAAAAAGCTGAAATTTCATATAACAGTATATTTTAGCAATACTAATTATATTAATATATTTAAGGGATAAAATCAACTAAATTAGTGAAACAAATGATAGAAACAAAAGCAATAATATTTATTAGTAATCATATTTAATAAAATCATTAGAAAAATACAGTCATGAAGTATATCTTCTTTTTAAAGTGTTTCGTGTTACAAAATACCGCGCCCCTAACGTTGGCTAACGGAGGGTTCAGATGCAAGTCGGCACGGGTTCCCGTTTATAGAATGAGCTGAAATTTTTACTGGGAGTATATAAACACGTAATAAATATAATTAGATGGTATGCGTAAAAAAAATAAAAATAAGGGACACCCTAATGTACATTTATGTATTTAGAGAAATATTGTACAAACCCAGCAAGAGCTTTAAATAATTTTTTTTTTTAAATTTCTAACATGGAATTGGATTACAACCTTTGGGTCGTTTGGTGAAAACTAAATTTGACAATTGGAAGGAAGCATTCAGTTACATAATTATAAAAATAAATAATATAAATAATAATAATAATATTTCATATCAAAAAATTTTGATTATAATGTAATGATTTACAGACTTATCAAGATCAACAAAACATTTATTTTTCAGCAAATCCTGTGATCGAAACTATTACTCTAAGGCGACAAGAGTGCGTGAACATGCATTTTGTCCCTTTCGTCGCTTTCTTGGGTATCAATTGTATAATAATCAATAACAATAAATAAATAGTTCACCTTGGTAAGAACATTACCTATAGTTATATAATATAAATATATACAATGTATATATTATTTATTTATATTATATAACTATAGGTAATGTTTTTACCAAGGTGAACTAGTTATTTATTGTTGGATCGGCCAATGTTGCGACAGGGCAAGAACAGTGGCGCACCCAGGATTGAAAACTTGGGGGCACTATATATATATATATATATATATATATATATATATATATATATATATATGCCAGGGTGATTTAAAAAAGTACTAGCCTTTTTTTGACTCGGTTGCTGGGCACCTCAAGAGAAGCCTATCTACGTAGGAGCTCTTACTATTAAGACACACCTCTCTTGAAGCCGAATCAGGTTGAACTAAATTGACGACAAAAGGTTATCGGAAATTTTCTGTAGAGTTCGATTTAGCAATATAAACAAAAAAAATGCGCCTTTGAAGACGTAAAATGCACATAACGTATACTAAAATTTTCTCAAAAGTTTACGTTTAATTTAATTTTATAATAATTTTTAAATTATGAGAATCCAAAAATGAAAAATTAAAAAAAAATAATAAATTTTTAATATGTTATACATACATTAAAATCATAATACACACACTAAATAATTATAAATGAACTATTATAATTAAAGGTCAAAAAACAAGGAATATCACAGGAGATAATGGCGCCATCTAAAAGTTATAATACTTATCTATTATTTGCTAAATAATAAAATAACCATTTAAACTATCTAGCCACAAATGTTAAATTTACAATTTTCTCAAAACAAAGACAATGTGATATTCCTTGTTTTTTCCCTTCACCCTTCAATTATTCAACAGCATCAATTATATACAGGCCCGTTCCTGGGGTGTCTGGCTACGTGCAGCATTCGTTGGTGCGCCCCTTTTATATTTAAATATAATACATTAAATATTTTAATATATCAATATATATTTTGCGACAAACTGGCAATATGTAATTAAAAATGTAAAAAAACCGCTTTAATTAAGTACCTGCTTTTATTTACGGTTAAACCATTACAAAATATGGGTTCAATTTTAATTACAAAAATTACATATAATTACTACTAAACAAATTGTTGACATTACTTTTAAACTTGGTTAGAGAGTTACAGAAGAGATCCACAACATACTTATTCGCCACTGCACACACTCTATCAATAGGCATGGATTGCCCGTAGTTGGTATTATGGGTTTTTATATAGAATAAACTGTATTGTCTAGTATGCCGTATAGGTACATGGAAGTTAATTCTGCTTAGCAATGCACTACAGTTTATAGAATTATTGAGGAGTTTATATAAAAACACTAGTTGGGCTTTTTCCCTCCTGACGGACAATGGATCTAGACCCAATAAGTGCCTTATCTGAAAATACACTATTTCCTCAGTAGGAATATTGAGTCTGAAAGCACAATGACGAAGAAACTTGTTTTGAACTCTCTCAATTAAATTACTATGGCATGCGTAATATGGGGTCCATATGACACAACAATATTCAAGAACACTTCGGACAAATGACATATACACATATTTTATACAGGTAACATTGAATTCTTTCATATTTCTGCTTATGAAACCTAAAATTTTTAAGGCTCTATTTGCAGTCATGTTTATATGCTGATTAAAAGATACTTAATAAATTTTTAATATGTTATACATACATTAAAATCATAATACACACACTAAATAATTATAAATGAACTATTATAATTAAAGGTCAAAAAACAAGGAATATCACAGGAGATAATGGCGCCATCTAAAAGTTATAATACTTATCTATTATTTGCTAAATAATAAAATAACCATTTAAACTATCTAGCCACAAATGTTAAATTTACAATTTTCTCAAAACAAAGACAATGTGATATTCCTTGTTTTTTCCCTTCACCCTTCAATTATTCAACAGCATCAATTATATACAGGCCCGTTCCTGGGGTGTCTGGCTACGTGCAGCATTCGTTGGTGCGCCCCTTTTATATTTAAATATAATACATTAAATATTTTAATATATCAATATATATTTTGCGACAAACTGGCAATATGTAATTAAAAATGTAAAAAAACCGCTTTAATTAAGTACCTGCTAAATGTCCGGGATACAAATTGCTATTGACGATAATTACAATAGTTTACAGCCATTTTGCCGACCATGTCTCACTATGATTTTCTTGAATAGTTTGGCTCACTAAACTCGAAAATCACACTTTTTTCATGGAAGCGTTTTCGAGATATGAATTTTCAATTGTTTTTTTTTTAATTTTCTGAGATTTTGACTTTGAGTTCTAATTGATCGATTTGACCAAACAAGCACTTAAATCAAAGGTAGGTAATTGAGCCCTCTACAACTTTCTCTTGTATAGTTTTGTTATCGGCCCAGTAGTTCGATGCTAGGGATTTTATTTCGTTGAAAAAGTCCTTTTTTTTACAAAAATCAAGGTTAAAATTTACATATCTTTCTGGGAAAGAAAGAAATCAAAAAGTTCAGTAAGTCCAGTTTGATTTATTTTACGTATAGATAATACCAAAAGGAAAAAATAAACTGCTGTTGATAAAAATCCATGAATAAATGGCGAAGTTATGAATTTTTTAGTGGAAGACCAAAATTCAGTTTTTAAGAATTTTTAAATAATATATATTAAACATTAAATATTGAACATTAAAGATATTGAAAGTTTTATTTTGTTTTAATAGCAGTTAAATGTCACTATTCCAACACGAGAAACAAATCAAATTTAAATTTTGAATAATGTTTTCGGTGAAATAAGAACTTAAAAAACTCAAACAATTTTCATTAAAGAATAAACATATTAAAAAATAAAAGGAAAAAAACTAAAAATCGTCAAAAAGCTGAATATTGGTCACGGTGTGCCTGAACAAGTCTTAGGTCACATAAAAATG